ATGGGTCTCTGTGTGAGTCTATGGGTCTCTGTGTGAGTCTATGGGTCTCTGTGTGAGTCTATGGGTCTCTGTGTGAGTCTATGGGTCTCTGTGTGAGTCTATGGGTTTCTGTGTGAGTCTATGGGTCTTTGTGTGAGTGAGTCTATGGGTCTCTGTGTGAGTGAGTCTATGGGTCTCTGTGTGAGTCTATGGGTCTCTGTGTGAGTCTATGGGTCTTTGTGTGAGTCTATGGGTCTCTGTGTGAGTGAGTCTATGGGTCTCTGTGTGAGTCTATGTGTCTCTGTGTGAGTCTATGGGTCTCTGTGTGAGTGAGTCTATGGGTCTCTGTGTGAGTCTATGGGTCTCTGTGTGAGTGAGTCTATGGGTCTCTGTGTGGAGTGAGTCTATGGGTCTGTGTGTGAGTGAGTCTATGGGTCTCTGTGTGAGTCTATGGGTCTCTGTGTGAGTGAGTCTATGGGTCTCTGTGTGAGTGAGTCTATGGGTCTGTGTGTGAGTGAGTCTATGGGTCTCTGTGTGAGTCTATGGGTCTCTGTGTGAGTGAGTCTATGGGTCTCTGTGTGAGTGAGTCTATGGGTCTCTGTGTGAGTCTATGGGTCTCTGTGTGAGTGAGTCTATGAGTCTCTGTGTGAGTGAGTCTGTGGGTCTCTGTGTGAGTGAGTCTATGGGTCTCTGTGTGAGTGAGTCTATGGGTCTCTGTGTAAGTAAGTCTATGGGTCTCTGTGTGAGTGAGTCTGTGGGTCTCTGTGTGAGTGAGTCTATGGGTCTCTGTGTGAGTCTATGGGTCTCTGTGTGAGTGAGTCTATGGGTCTCTGTGTGGAGTGAGTCTGTGGGTCTCTGTGTGAGTGAGTCTATGGGTCTCTGTGTGAGTCTATGGGTCTCTGTGTGAGTGATTCTATGGGTCTCTGTGTGGAGTGAGTCTATGGGTCTGTGTGTGAGTGAGTCTATGGGTCTGTGTGTGAGTGAGTCTATGGGTCTGTGTGTGAGTGAGTCTATGGGTCTCTGTGTGAGTGAGTCTATGTGTCTCTGTGTGAGTGAGTCTATGGGTCTGTGTGTGAGTGAGTCTATGGGTCTCTGTGTGAGTGAGTCTATGGGTCTCTGTGTGAGTCTATGGGTCTCTGTGTGAGTGAGTCTATGGGTCTCTGTGTGGAGTGAGTCTATGGGTCTGTGTGTGAGTGAGTCTATGGGTCTGTGTGTGAGTGAGTCTATGGGTCTGTGTGTGAGTGAGTCTATGGGTCTCTGTGTGAGTGAGTCTATGGGTCTCTGTGTGAGTCTATGGGTCTCTGTGTGAGTGAGTCTATGGGTCTCTGTGTGAGTGAGTCTATGGGTCTCTGTGTGAGTGAGTCTATGGGTCTCTGTGTGAGTCTATGGGTGCTGGCCACCCACCCCCTCGTGAGTCAGACTGCCGACCGTCGTAGGCGCTACTCACAGCACTTGCCCCTGCAGTGTGTTGAGGCTGCACGGGGGAGCTTTGTCTTTGTGTCTATAGCTGCTACTCGCTCACAGCACTTGCCCCTGCAGTGTGTGTGAGGCTACACGGGGGAGCTTTGTCTGTGTCTATAGCTGCTACTCACAGCACTTGCCCCTGCAGTGTGTTGAGGCTACACGGGGGACCTTTGTCTGTGTGTTGGTGCCTTACCGTGAGCTGGGACCTTCCCTGTGGGAGTCTCCACGCTGCCCTCCGTGTCGCCGGCAGCAGGCGGAGTCTACGAGAGCATCACAACGTCATCACAACGTCATCACAAAGTCATCACGTCATCACAACGTCATCACAACGTCATCACAACGTCATCACGGCGTCATCACGGCGTCATCACAACGTCATCACAACGTCATCACAACGTCATCACATCATGACAACGTCATCACGTCATCACGTCATCGATAACGTCATCACAACGTCATCACGGCATCATCACGGCGTCATCACGTCATCACAACGTCATCACGGCATCATCACGGCATCATCACAGCGTCTTCACGGCGTCATCACAGCGTCATCACAACGTCATCACAGCGTCATCACAGCGTCATCACGGCGTCATCACGTCATCACAACGTCATCACGGCATCATCACGTCATCACAGCGTCATCACAGCGTCATCACAACGTCATCACTCACAGAGACCCACAGACTCACTCACAGAGACCCATAGACTCACTCACACAGACACCAATAGACTCACTCCCACAGAGACCCACAGACTCACTCACACAGAGACCCATAGACTCACTCACACAGAGACCCATAGACTCACTCACACAGAGACCCATAGACTCACTCCACACAGACCCATAGACTCACTCACACAGAGAACCATAGACTCACTCACACAGAGACCCACAGACTTACTCACACAGAGACCCACAGCCTCATCACAGAGACCCATAGACTCACTCAAACAGAGACCCATAGACTCACTCACACAGAGATCCATAGACTCACTCACACAGAGACCCACAGCCTCATCACAGAGACCCACAGACTCACTCACACAGAGACCCATAGACTCACTCACACAGAGATTCTCATAGACTCACTCACACAGAGACCCATAGACTCACTCACACAGAGACCCATAGACTCACTCACACAGAGACCCATAGACTCACTCACACAGAGACCCATAGACTCACTCACACAGAGACCCATAGACTCACTCACACAGAGACCCATAGACTCACTCACACAGAGACCCATAGACTCACTCACACAGAGACCCATAGACTCACTCACACAGACCCATAGACTCACTCACACAGAGACCCATAGACTCACTCACACAGACCCATAGACTCACTAACACAGAGACCCACAGACTCACTAACACAGAGACCCACAGACTCACTCACACAGAGACCCATAGACTCACTCCACACAGACCCATAGACTCACTCACACGGAGACCCATAGACTCATCACACAGAGACCCATAGACTCACTCACACAGAGACCCACAGACTCACTCACACAGAGACCCATAGACTCACTCACACAGAGACCCATAGACTCACTCACACAGAGACCCATAGACTCACTCACACAGAGACCCATAGACTCATCACACAGAGACCCATAGACTCACTCACACAGAGACCCATAGACTCACTCACACAGAGACCCATAGACTCACTCACACAGAGACCCATAGACTCACTCACATAGAGACCCATAGACTCACTCAGAGACCCATAAACTCACCACACAGAGACCCATAGACTCACTCACACAGCACCCATAGACTCACTCACACAGAGACCCACAGACTCACCAAACAGAGACCCATAGACTCACTCACACAGCACCCATAGACTCACTCACACAGAGACCCACAGACTCACCAAACAGAGACCCATAGACTCACTCACACAGAGACCCACAGACTCACTCACACAGAGACCCATAGACTCACTCACACAGAGACCCACAGACTCACTCACACATTGACCCATAGACTCACTCACACAGAGACCCATAGACTCACTCGCACAGAGACCCATAGACTCACTCACACAGAGACCCATAGACTCACTCCACACAGAGACCCATAGACTCACTCACACAGAGACCCACAGACTCACTCACACAGAGGCCCATAGACTCACTCACACAGAGACCCATAGACTCACTCACACAGAGACCCATAGACTCACTCACACAGAGACCCATAGACTCACTCACACAGAGACCCATAGACTCACTCACACAGAGACCCATAGACTCACTCACACAGAGACCCATAGGCTCACTCACATAGAGACCCATAGACTCACTCAGAGACCCATAGACTCACTCACACAGAGACCCATAGACTTACTCACACAGAGACCCATAGACTCACTCACACAGCACCCACAGACTCACCACACAGAGACCCATAGACTCACTCACACAGCACCCATAGACTCACTCACACAGAGACCCACAGACTCACCACACAGAGACCCATAGACTCACTCACACAGAGACCCATAGACTCACTCACACAGAGACCCATAGACTCACTCACACAGAGACCCATAGACTCACTCACACAGAGACCCATAGACTCATCACACAGAGACCCATAGACTCACTCACACAGAGACCCATAGACTCACTCACACAGAGACCCATAGACTCACTCACACAGAGACCCATAGACTCACTCACATAGAGACCCATAGACTCACTCAGAGACCCATAAACTCACCACACAGAGACCCATAGACTCACTCACACAGCACCCATAGACTCACTCACACAGAGACCCACAGACTCACCACACAGAGACCCATAGACTCACTCACACAGAGACCCACAGACTCACTCACACAGAGACCCATAGACTCATCACACAGAGACCCATAGACTCACTCACACAGAGACCCATAGACTCACTCACACAGAGACCCATAGACTCACTCACACAGAGACCCATAGACTCACTCACACAGAGACCCACAGACTCACTCACACAGAGACTCATAGACTCACTCACACAGAGACCCATAGACTCACTCACACAGAGACCGACAGACTCACTCACACAGAGACCCACAGACTCACTCACACAGAGACCCACAGACTCACTCACACAGAGACCCACAGACTCACTCACACAGAGACCCACAGACTCACTCACACAGAGACCTGCAGACTCACTCCACACAGACCCATAGACTCACTCACACGGAGACCCATAGACTCACTCACACAGAGACTCATAGACTCACTCACACAGAGACCCATAGACTCACTCACACAGAGACCCACAGACTCACTCACACAGAGACCCACAGACTCACTCACACAGAGACCCACAGACTCACTCACACAGAGACCCACAGACTCACTCACACAGAGACCCACAGACTCACTCACACAGAGACCCATAGACTCACTCACACGGAGACCCATAGACTCACTCACACAGAGACCCATAGACTCACTCACACAGAGACCCACAGACTCACTCACACAGAGACCCATAGACTCACTCACACAGAGACCCACAGACTCACTCACACATTGACCCATAGACTCACTCACACAGAGACCCATAGACTCACTCGCACAGAGACCCATAGACTCACTCACACAGCACCCATAGACTCACTCACACAGAGACCCACAGACTCACCAAACAGAGACCCATAGACTCACTCACACAGAGACCCACAGACTCACTCACACAGAGACCCATAGACTCATCACACAGAGACCCATAGACTCACTCACACAGAGACCCATAGACTCACTCACACAGAGACCCATAGACTCACTCACACAGAGACCCATAGACTCACTCACACAGAGACCCACAGACTCACTCACACAGAGACTCATAGACTCACTCACACAGAGACCCATAGACTCACTCACACAGAGACCGACAGACTCACTCACACAGAGACCCACAGACTCACTCACACAGAGACCCACAGACTCACTCACACAGAGACCCACAGACTCACTCACACAGAGACCCACAGACTCACTCACACAGAGACCTGTAGACTCACTCCACACAGACCCATAGACTCACTCACACGGAGACCCATAGACTCACTCACACAGAGACTCATAGACTCACTCACACAGAGACCCATAGACTCACTCACACAGAGACCCACAGACTCACTCACACAGAGACCCACAGACTCACTCACACAGAGACCCACAGACTCACTCACACAGAGACCCACAGACTCACTCACACAGAGACCCACAGACTCACTCACACAGAGACCCATAGACTCACTCACACAGAGACCCATAGACTCACACAGAGACCCATAGACTCACTCACACAGAGACCCATAGACTCACTCACACAGAGACCCATAGACTCACTCACACAGAGACCCACAGACTCACTCACACATTGACCCATAGACTCACTCACACAGAGACCCATAGACTCACTCGCACAGAGACCCATAGACTCACTCACACAGAGACCCATAGACTCACTCCACACAGAGACCCATAGACTCACTCACACAGAGACCCACAGACTCACTCACACAGAGGCCCATAGACTCACTCACACAGAGACCCATAGACTCACTCACACAGAGACCCATAGACTCACTCACACAGAGACCCACAGACTCACTCACACAGAGACCCACAGACTCACTCACACAGAGACCTGTAGACTCACTCCACACAGACCCATAGACTCACTCACACGGAGACCCATAGACTCACTCACACAGAGACTCATAGACTCACTCACACAGAGACCCATAGACTCACTCACACAGAGACCCACAGACTCACTCACACAGAGACCCACAGACTCACTCACACAGAGACCCACAGACTCACTCACACAGAGACCCACAGACTCACTCACACAGAGACCCACAGACTCACTCACACAGAGACCCATAGACTCACTCACACGGAGACCCATAGACTCACTCACACAGAGACCCATAGACTCACTCACACAGAGACCCACAGACTCACTCACACAGAGACCCATAGACTCACTCACACAGAGACCCACAGACTCACTCACACATTGACCCATAGACTCACTCACACAGAGACCCATAGACTCACTCGCACAGAGACCCATAGACTCACTCACACAGAGACCCATAGACTCACTCCACACAGAGACCCATAGACTCACTCACACAGAGACCCACAGACTCACTCACACAGAGGCCCATAGACTCACTCACACAGAGACCCATAGACTCACTCACACAGAGACCCATAGACTCACTCACACAGAGACCCATAGACTCACTCACACAGAGACCCATAGACTCACTCACACAGAGACCCATAGACTCACTCACACAGAGACCCATAGGCTCACTCACATAGAGACCCATAGACTCACTCAGAGACCCATAGACTCACTCACACAGAGACCCATAGACTTACTCACACAGAGACCCATAGACTCACTTACACAGCACCCACAGACTCACCACACAGAGACCCATAGACTCACTCACACAGCACCCATAGACTCACTCACACAGAGACCCACAGACTCACCACACAGAGACCCATAGACTCACTCACACAGAGACCCATAGACTCACTCACACAGAGACCCATAGACTCACTCACACAGAGACCCATAGACTCACTCACACAGAGACCCATAGACTCATCACACAGAGACCCATAGACTCACTCACACAGAGACCCATAGACTCACTCACACAGAGACCCATAGACTCACTCACACAGAGACCCATAGACTCACTCACATAGAGACCCATAGACTCACTCAGAGACCCATAAACTCACCACACAGAGACCCATAGACTCACTCACACAGCACCCATAGACTCACTCACACAGAGACCCACAGACTCACCAAACAGAGACCCATAGACTCACTCACACAGAGACCCACAGACTCACTCACACAGAGACCCATAGACTCATCACACAGAGACCCATAGACTCACTCACACAGAGACCCATAGACTCACTCACACAGAGACCCATAGACTCACTCACACAGAGAAACATAGACTCACTC